TGATACTTTTCTCCTTCATTTTTTTCTCCCTTGTGGTTTTCCTTTTCGGAGGTTGGGGCTTGTGGTAAGAAACTGGAGCAGCCCTTGTTTATAGGTTTCGAGTGGCGAGAAAACTGCCCACGTGTTTGCTGTGCATGGAGACCCGTGTCGCTGGAAAGGAGGGTCCCTGGTTGTTGAGAGGTCCTGACACACTGCTTTGGCCCTTGCTTCAGCTAAACGGGTGGCACCTTGTCGTCCTCATTGGGGTAAATCGGCTGGTCACTAATCCTTGTGTCAGTGGCTTTGGGATAAGCTCTCGGGAGTACCTGCTTTTTCGGGAAAGCCGATTGTAGGGCTTCAGTTTGCATATAGGTCTGGCTAGCCCTAACGCAGCAATCTCTGTTTCCTTCTTGGGCTCTGTGGTGGGTGGGCAGTCGAATCTGAATCTTTATTTCTCTCAAATATGGCAAATTCTAAAATATACACAATAAGAGACTTTGTCATAATAAAAGTCAGTAAAGTAGTTCCAAGGACTAATTCTTCTGAAAAGTCAAATGTTAAAAAAGCGGATGTGAACAATTCTAACAAGTCCATGTTTCCTTGTAGTATCAAGCCCTTCTGGTGAAATGCAAAAGATATCATCTTCATTCATAATTAACAAGTATATTAAATCCCCTATAGGTGAACCAAGAAAGATAAAACGTCTTCGGTCTGGAGATTTGCTTATCGACACAACTTCGCCCATACAGTCTGCCTCCCTTCTTCGACTAACCAAGCTCGGGCAAATTGATGTAAATGTATCTGCACATAAAACACTTAACTTTTGTAGAGGCATAATTTCGGAATTTGACCTCTGTTTCTAAAGAAGGGTTACTTTCCGAGCTTGCCAATCAAAAGGTTTGTGCTGCCAGGCAGATTGAGATGCGTAAAGAAGGTCAGTTAATAGACACAAAATATATGATCCTGACCTTGAAGTTGCCTGATCTGGCTAAGAATATTAAGGCTGGATACCTCAATTGTCCTGTATGCGCATATATCCCCAACCCGATGCGATGCTTTCAGTGCCAGCGTTTTGGCCACACTAAAATCTCCTGCCGTGGCAAACTCATGTGTGCACATTGCTCTGTGGCTGGCCATGATAGTGACACATGTACTGCTGCCCCACTGTGCATAAATTGCAAGGGTGAACGTGCAGCTTTCTCACACTCATGTCTCAAATGGAAAACAGAGAGGAAAGTCCAGGCTATTAAAATTAGGAGAAATATATCATATGCAGAAGCCAAAAGGATAGTCAAAGGCACTGAACCACGAACAGGGATGTCTTTCGCTAGTGCTGCAAAATCAGTGCGTTCTGTTGGTACCCAAACTTCAGTGAGCACACAAACACCAGCACCTAAAACCCAGCCCAAAATAAACAAACCAACTTACGAAATACAGAAAACAGAAACAATAATTAAAAAAAAAAATAAAAATAAAAAAAGTTATGTCTGGTATGGGTACTGCTTTGGACCATCTAGTAAATCTATCTATCATAGTTAAACAATAATAATTATCTTGAGAAGGAGATAGTGGACTAATGAGGTTAGGGTGGGCATGATCAAATCTCTGTGATTGGTCTGGAAACTTCATTAACGGGGTTCTAGTGTGTCTGCTTAAATTTTGTAATTCTGGATTGCTCTGTTGCATTTTAGCAATTTCTTCATAGTCAATAGGGTAAGGCATGCTTATCGCTTCTATGTGCGAAAGTGCGTCCGTGTCAAAATTCTTCGAAACTTTTATATGGTGAATTTCAGTGATGAATTGTGAGATAAAGTCTAACTGCCTAGTTTGACGAGGTGAATGCTTATCCAAACACTGCCAAAATGAATACGTAAGCGGCTTGTGATCGGTGATTAAAGAAAAATTCCGTGCTTTCAACATATGCTTAAAATTCCTAATAGCAGCAGAAGCTGCCAATAGCTCCTGATCATAAACGCTATAGTTCCTTTCTGCTTGCAAAAGCTTTCGTGAGAAAAATGCAAGAGGCTGTAAATTTCCATCAACTATTTGTGATAGTGTTCCGCCAATCGCAAAGTCTGACACATCAACCTGTAAAACCAACTGGGTACCTTTCTTCGGGTGCACTAAAAGAACCACATTCGCGATTCATTGTTTACACTTTTGAGTGCTTCCTCAGACCAATTCAGGATTGTTTTATCATTTTTCTGAGCCCCCTTTAAATATGAAGTTAAATGTATTTGCTTCTGGGCTACGTTGGGTAAAAATTAACGCTAAAAATTTAAAAATCCTAAAAATCTCTGCAAATTCATTACCATTTTAGGAAGCGGATAGTTAAATATCGGTTTAACTTTGTTCATCAGAGGCTTGGTACCATCTTTATTAATTAAATGTACTAAGAAAGATGTTTTGGGAATGCCAAAAACACATTTCAAAGTATTAGTTGTCAATCCATATGAAGTTAATCTTTCAAAAATAGTATGTGAGATTTATGTTTATCTTCTGTATCACTAAATATCAAAATATTATCTAAGTAGACATAAGCAAATTTTAGGTCTCCAAGAATTTCGTTCATAAAACTTTGAAAGGTTTGAGCTGCTCTGCACAGTCCGAAATTTAAAAGCGGAAATTCAAAAAAGACCAAATGGGGTGCAACTGCAGTTTTCAGTATATGATCTGGATTTAACTGGTATATGATGATATGCCCGAATGATAAAGAGCATAGTCCCAACACAGACGCAGATGCCGAAGTTTATTTATTCCAGTGGAGCACAAGACTTAAGTGTTACCCAGACTAGACTTTCAGAGAAAACTCGTCTGTCCCCGTAAGCCCATAGGGTTACTATACAGGTTTATTTTCTTTGTTTACTGTTTCACTAATTAGCGGTTTTTCTCTAGAGTTTTTGAGTTTGTATCGCCTGTTTGGCACTGCCACTGCAATACAATGCTGTATATAATATAATGCTATATATATGCTAGAACAATATACAATGCTATGTTATATATATGCTGGAATGCAATGCAATGCTATAAATATGCTAGAACAATGCTCTATATAAATCAAACATATATCCTAAGTCACGCTTTTGAGACATGAAAAACGTAATTTGAATTTTATCAATCGGCCCAGTAGAACGAGAAATATAGAACTGTGCCCCCCCTTTTTTTTGTGCGGTGTACATCTTTGGGCTTCATGCGAGTTTGAAAGTATACAGATGTGAGATCTAATGTTATCTGAATTTTGTAGATTTAATTTTTTTTGTATTATTTCTTCAATTATGAGCAAATATAGACAGTATACTTCATAATACTGTTTAATTTTTTTAGTATATGGTGAAATGCCATGCCATATGATTGGTAGGTGGGAGGTTATTCCTTTTCTTACAAAAAACAGGGCTTGCATACAAACTGCTGATAGGTGTTCTAATCTTATTTCTCAACATCTCTTATGGATGATCTTTAATTATTTTTTGCTTAACCTTATCGTAATGATAAGGTTTGTTTCTTACTTGGGAGGCTGAATTACCAGCATCTATTTCATGATTAATAATATTAGTATAATAAAAAAGTTTTGAAAAATCTCTACCAGGGTTTCCAGCTGTTTTCTTTCTTCTGTTCCAATACTCCATGGAGAGCTGCAGCGGCTGGACTCTTCTTTCTACTTTATTTATCTGTAATTGTAAAATAGAATCACAGAAATTAAGATAAGTCCCTGCCACTTTTAAGAAATGAATCAGTATCTTACAGCGGCTTGCAGGTTCCGCCGACAAAGAAAACCACCTTTAAGATTTCATCTTTCCCTTGCGCATGCAATAATATTTTGCCTTTGGTGACAATAACTTTTTCCCTGCCTAATTTCAAAAGTTTATGTCTGCGAAATCATTTTATTAAGTTTCCAAAATGAAATTGCACTGAGCTCCAGTATCAATTAGATCTTCAGCAGGGATACTATTGAACAAAACTTGCGCTATTGGCAGTTCCAAATTTCTTATTACCACAGTATTTAATTTCCGAGGGATTTTCCTTATTCCAGAGTGACTGTACCCTCTCGTCAGTACCCCTATTTTGTTTAACTGGTCCCCTTCTTTTTGGTTTGCTTCTTTTCTGCTCCCGCTACTCCCGTTTGAATGTTTTCCTTTCTTTTCAAATTTCTTCTTCAACCCAAACTGCAGTTTTTGCTGGGCATTGGCTTAAAACTTTGCTCCTTTGAGCTCTCACCTCACCCCGCTATTCGATTTTTCTCTCCTATTCGTCGATTTTGAAACTTCGTAGCTTATTCAAATAAGATTTTCCAATGCTGTTGGATTCCGGGGCTTAAAATAATCCTGCACTGCATTTTTATATTTATATAGAAAGAAAAAAATAAATAAATAAATAAAAGGCAGTTGTAATCTATAGCTTTCTGCAGAATTTTAATATTTATACATTACATTTTATTTTTGATGCAGACAGTAATATATGCAAGAAGTAGAGTAGTAGATTTTGTAATTGTGGAACATAGTATAAGGTATCAAGATTATTTTTATTAACTGTAATAAAAACATCAGTATCATGATGCAGATTTATTCAATTGGTTTTTAAATAATTCAACTTATGCTGATCAGCAATATACAATTTTAGTGATGGAGGATAAATGGTAAAGGGTCTTGTTGGGTAGCAACAATTTCGCTTTAGTCAAGAAAATTTTTATCTTTTGCATAGTTAAAATAGTAACAGATGTATTCGTTCAGAGGAAAAAATATTAACAAGAAAATTATTGTCCTTAAAGTGCAGTTATGAAGGATTTTGAAATTAGTCACGAAATTTGATGCTTTAGAAATTAATAAATTAAGTTTTAAGCAACTATTCATTAAATTAATAAAATTCTTGGAAGATTTTTTTTTTCTTAAATATCTTTCTTCATATTTGATTTAATGTGCTAAATGTGTACAACTTCTAAAAGTATTTATAATTTTTAGTAAAAAAGAAAGAACTATTAAAACTGAATGTCTTCTTTCTCAGATAACTCTTGTTTCTTATAATAGAAATTTAGAGAAGAGCTGAGATATAACAGAGAAAAGGCATTTGGAGAAAGTTCACAGTATGAGGTAAAAATATTTTCTGCTTTAGTACTAAGGTTGATTGTGCTTGTTGTCATCATCCAAATGTTTTAAAATTTTGAACCTGCAAGTATGTTATTTTGAATATTTTTCAGACAAAGAAATCAAAGAAACGTCACAAAAAAAGGGTGAGTGATGGTTGATTTAAAATATTTGGAATTAATTTTAATGTTTGTAATTATATTTGCTACATTATGTATTTTATATCTTTTTGAAGTATTTATGAATATTAAAAAACATTTTTTTATATTATTGTGTATTTAATTAATTCAGTTTTATAGCATAATTATTATGGAGATATATGTTACAAAATGCTAATTTTAAGGCAGAAATAATTTCAAGCAACTTTAAATAATACAGCTATAAGAATGGAAGAGAAAATACATATAGAAATTTTTAAATGAGTTGGAAAAAACAGCCTAATTAGGCTGGGATAGATTCTAAATAAAATTCTATTGATTTTGAGACTGATCATACAAGTCCCTCTGCTACTGGAGCAAAGAATTTGTGACAAAACTGTTTTATGCGATAACTATTACTTCAGATTCCCCCCCCCCTTCAGAAGAAAGGAATCTATGTCTGATTGGCCTCTGCATTGTTAGTTTTATTCAAAATCTACTGCAAAGGCTGCATTTTTGCCCGATTCTAAATACTGTAATTATAAAATGTGTCTTTCATTTATTTTCATTTTTTACCAGTATTATGTGAGTAAATCATGTTTTATTTTTTGATTGTTTAATGATGTAATATCCTGCTTATTTTATATATTGTGAATATAGGAAGAACTTAGGTATGCTATAATCATCATTGTATTGGATCTACTCTTAAGTAATGTCATTTTTTGCACACGTGCAGAAACAGTGTCATAGGCTACTGCATCACATAAGAAATCCAGCTATAAATAACTATCACCGAGTACATCAGCTCCTTTTGTATCTGCATATCACTTTGCAGTTAAATTGTATAGCAATGATATAGTTTTATGTATGCTTGTGTCTGAAGAATATATATAGCATATATAAGTGAAGTATAATAGTGTAAGTATAATAGTGAATACAAAAATTCTGTGGAATTGTACTTGTTATATGATTAAATGTTATGAAAATGCAATGTAAAAATTTTCATGCAGTGTTTGAATGCAGATCAGAAACTGATTTGAAGATGGCTGTACCTTTTTTTTAATGAAAACTGTTTGATATGTTCATATAGAGAATAACAGTGCAAAAAAAATTACAGAAGGATTTTTTTAAAAAAAAGGGTGTATCTGTGATGTGTCCCGCTTTTCAAATTTTATTGACTGATTTTTCGTTTATGGAATTATTAATGTGGAACCATTTTACAAGTGACTCTTTCTTTTGGCATGTTAGCTTAGTTGGCAAAATTTGGTGTTCCAAAGTCGCCAACGAATTGAAGGCTTTTCGTTAGGTGAGAGGGCAGGCAATCAGAAAGTACCTTGAAAGTTTACTTTTTAATTATTTACAATATTTATGCACAGCATGTAGTGACTCTTATAGTATTATTATGTAGTGACTCTTATAATGCCTATGAACATTTCTCGTCACTCAGTGTCTATAATCTCTTGCTGAGCATTGCAAAAAAGCCATTTTAATTTATAGAGAAGATGTCTTTTGGCTCGTTCATTTCCAAAATTTCTTTCAGAATAGTCATTTTATCTTTCATTTTCGTCGAATGTTAATTTTGACACAATCCCCGTCTTTTATGTTTTCAGCCACCCTTTGGTCACCTAAAATTAAATTTGGTCTAATGTTTTGCAAACTTATGAATTTTTTATATTGTCGGAGAGTTAGGTACTTCTATCTTGAATTGTACCAATCCTTTTAAAAATAGTTTGGTAATGCTTTTTTAAATGTGCATTTTTATTCATTACCTAATGTATTGAAATCCTATCCCAATTTTTAATAGAGGGACATTGAATAAATTTTTACTCTCAGCATCATACTCTCTAGTTGCTTCCTGTAAATGACCCTAAACCTTCTGTAGGAAACAGCCGTTATGGATAAAGAGGATTCATGCCATTCATATGGATGAATATTAAGCAGGTACATAGGAATAATATGAGCCATTTCCCCCTAAAATATTCCTCCATGAAGGCATGAATACACAAATGCCCTAAGGACATTTGTGTGCTTTGCTATATTCAATATTTGTTTGATTCATTCATTGAAATATTTTGACGTATTCAGATATCCACTTGCTTTAATGACCCTAAGGTTGCCAAATTCAAATATCTCCTAATTTAATCTTAAATAGATATTTTATATTATGCTGCAAACTCAAAAAATAAAATCTCCTTTTCAAGATAAAAAACTGTGAAATCTCGTAGGAAAATATAACAAGGTCTTTGGAAAACTTCATTTAATTGAGACTGGATTTTATTGTTTTCAAATTACTTTTATGGACAAATCCATGTTTTGTCAGCTTTCTACTAAAATATTTGTTGAATAAAAAATATCATAAAATAGATGTCTTATGTTACAGCTATACATGGTGTTAGAAACATCTTATTATTATGAATATTTGCATAATCCAAATTGTGCAAACATTCGTAATTTGGATTTATTTTAAGTTAGATTTTAAATCAGAATTTTATTTATTGCCATTAAATCACTCAGAATTTTAAGCAATATGGTTCTAATTTAGAAGAATAAGTTAAAGATTTTGTGTTATACTGAATAAGAGACACTATGAAAACTGGCCATTTGGCAGACTAAGTGGAAGTGAATTACACATTTTTATGCAATAATAAGATCTGCTACAATAAATAGCATGATAGTGTAATTCAATGCATTATAATTGCCCAAAAAATCTGGAACGTTTAAGATGTTCCAAGGTAAAAAAAAAAAAAAAGTGTTATTTTGCAAAAACAATAAATTAGAATTTTATATCCATGCTTTTATTATATTTTAATAGTTATTCAGGAATCAGTTATATTTTAATATTTATTTCTAGATATTTCCATATAATGATACCTTTTCCTATAAATATTTATGAGTAAACAGTAAAATATAATTGATTCCTAAATAACTAATACTTTGATTATTTAATATATGAATATATTTACATCATATAAATTCAGTTTGTAACACAGATATTTTTCTTAAGTTGTCAAGCTCTTCATCTTCATCTTCATCTTCATCTAGGTGCTCAGATTCATATAGTTCTGAGGTATGTATGTTCTGAGATCTCAGTTTTTTATACTATTTGATAAATTAAAATGACATGAATAAATTATTTAAATTAAGGGTTCTGATTTATACTTTATGTGCCAGGGTTCGTAGCGGTCTTTACAAGTGCTTATAAGTCCTTATATTTGAAAATAAAATATAAAGGCCCTTATAGGTGCTTATTTTTCTTTAAAGCCCTTATTTTTTTGTTTTTGTTTTTAGTGATTTTTTTTTTTTTTTTTTTGGCTTTTAGTGCTTTTTTTTTTAATGAACGCGCATTTTTTCCCAGTACCAAAGCCGAAAGTAAATAAACAACTTTTCTTCCTTATTTATATGCAACATCAGATGGTGAATCATACTCCTGGAAATTGCTTTTCCCCCCTTTCTCTGCATTAACGTAACCTATGGTGCACGCGAGAGTACAGACAGGTGCATGTCGTGCTATTGGTTAAAGAATTGCAAAAACGGTAGACAATTCCGGTACATTCGGTATTCTTTTCCTCCCACCCAAATATTACACACGTTTGAATTTCTATCAAGAATTTAAGGCTCTAGTGTAGAATTGGGTACCCCTTCGATTAGTGACAAATTAAAAAAAAATTTTGGCTATGAAACCTCATTTCTGGTTCCCATGATAGTTTTAATATTTAGCTTCCTGACTTTTTTTAAAGTGAAAGTAGATTGATGTGTACATGGACAAATTTAAAACACTTACAATGCCTAGTTTGTGCAGTTCTGGGGTGATTTTTTAAGTGAAAAAAGATCGATGTTTACATGGACACAGAGTTTGTGCAATTCTGTGACTTCTTATTTTGGTTTCGTGTAGCGTCCATCTTGAAATTGCGCTTTCTTGGTGCCGATCTTGGCGTAAAAAAAATAATCGCCAATAAACAAGGGGCACCCAATTGTAAACTTTTACCGAATTTAATAATTTGCATATTCTCATACCGCGTGGTCAGTACATATTCGTGTTTATTAGGATCGTTATGCTTATATTATGAGCATATGTCATGAATATTTATAATAGTATGGTTGCAGTATAGATAAACTTTCAAAAATGGATAGATAAGCTGTATAGATAAACTGAAGTATAGATAAACTTCCAAAAATGGGTGTGTTTTTACACAGATTAGCTTTCTAAGGAATAATATTCAGGAAAGGCTTAAATAAAAGGAAAGTAATCGAATAATTCAAACTAATTGAATCAAAAATTTTTTTTTCCCCCCGGTACATTACATTATACAGTACAGGAGGTTGGGAGGTTCTCCCCTTTCTCCGCAAAATCTCAAATATTGAAACCATTACAGCTCGCTGCAAAACAAGCAACGGACTTTTTTTTGTCAGTGTCCAATCTGGATTGAATAGGACTAAACGTTTTGCGGTCTACCGAACCCAAGTGAAGACTGACTTCTATTCTGGAAATTTAAACGCAGTCTGTTCAAAATTAGAATCAAAAACACCCAGATTAGTAAGTCTCTTTCTTTTCCTTTAATTAATTCTTTATTCTCCGAAATACTGGCAGCTTGTTCATTCTGATTCTGATTGCGTAATATCACGTATGGGAAGAATTACGCCGTGCATGTATTGCGCAATAATGTTTGCGGTAAATTGTGCAGAGATAATTAATTTTTATGTTCAGTCTGAGATTTCTTTATGAGCACTTAAAAGAGGTTTTACTGTGTTTGCTTTCTAAGCAGAATATTTCTCAGTTCTGTTGGTCTATTTTTATATGATGCATATATCGAAATGTCAAAATCATTTATTTAGCCGAAAAATCTAAAGAACGGCTACAATCTCATCCCCTCCTCTTTTTCCAGTTATGCTCGACTATACGGAATATTCGGCAATTTCCGAGTATGCGGGTTAGTTAAGCTTTTACTATTAAAGGATGACTGCATGAAGCAATTTCCCATCTCCTGATTTCAGAAATGTGCCTCTTTTTTACTTAAATTACTTTGCTTGGAACTATGTTAAGGGAAAACTCTTATGCAATGAAAATTTAGAAAATGTTTAGAATTTTGATTGAAGTTAAATTATTTAAATATTAATATGAGTAGAAAAATAAATTGTCTTTATTATTAAGTGCCAAACGAATACAATTAATATGGCTTATTGTTATTTATTTTCTATATTTTGAACTGAAATTTCATCATTAAATTTGTAACATAGTTTGTTCTGCATAGTTTTTTTTCTGTCATTTTAAACTAATTCTGTAAATTGAACTGTCATTTAAAAAAAAAAAAAAAAAAAAAAAAAAAAAAAAAAAGGGTGGTACTAATCTGTTTTGAGGGCTGTAAAAAAATTACAGTGAAATGTATGCGCAGAAGCGCCAAATCTAGCCTACGTGCTGATTTCAGATTGCGTCAGTTTTATATAGTTCTATATTTCTTAAGACGCTATTGAAATACTAATATTAATTTTTAAATCTTTTTTTATATATATAATATATATATATCCTATAGATTTAACCAATTTGGGGAATTGCCCATGACAAAAAGTCGGCAATAGAATTTGGGGTAAAGTGCAGAATCATCCGCTGCTTGACGCGTTTTTTAAGAACTGCACATACTCAGTATTCATGTGCACATCGACCTATTTTCACTAAAAAAAAAAATATCCTAAAATTGAACAAAAATGGCAGTGCGCACACCCTTGACGTTATCTATGTACACATTGATCTATTTTCACTTAAAAAGTAAAAGAAAATTGACAAAAATCCAATTGCTTTTAACCCTTGTAAAAAGTGGCGAACAAATAAGTGAGCTATTCTGCACTTTACTGAGAATATTTTCAAAGAAAAGGCATCATTCATTATAGAAAATTACGTTTGAACAACCAACGAGATGAAATTATGCTTTAACGATAAGTCGGAGCGAAATAGCAATGCAGGCATCCATTCAGTTATGTTTAGCAATTTTTATATAAATTATAATAATAAAAAAGTATTATATGAAATTAACCTTTCATCTAAATTAAAACATCAATCTTAGATAGTTATTTACTATTATACTTCCTTTCTTGCCGCAATTATTTTTGGTAGCATTGGCATCAACGATAGTTTGGCAACTTTTTTACGGCCCTCGAAACCGAATAGTACCAAAAAAGTTAATTGTTTTCCATTGTTGAGGTAATGCATTCTCTTAATAAATATTGCATTGCTCATATTTTAAATTACAAGTCTAATTTTTCTTTTAAGGTTATGCAGTTGTGTATAATGTAATTAGACAGGTGCTTAATTTTTCCTTAAAATGTGCTTGAAAAGTGCTTATTTTTTTAACTAAAATGTGGCTACGAACCCTGATGTGCTTCTTGGTCATATAACTTGGATATGTAGGTTAAATTGTAATTTTAGTATAACTATAGAAATAAAACAAATATGGTTAGACAATAAAACTGAAACACCTGCATCTAAATCAGTGATTCTCAAAGTGGGTGGTACTGCCCTCCCCTGTGGTTCTGAGAGCCATCTAAGAGGGCACTTGAAGCTTCAAGTGATATTAACCCTTTTGCCGTCCTCTCCTGTCCACAAAAATTTCACCCCAGCAGCCCTTTGTTTTTCACAGCGTGTAATGTTGCTGGCTCTGTACATACATAACTTTCATAGTGGATGAATGAATATGTAAAATTATAAGGAAATAAAGCATAATGGAAAAGTAATACTATCTGCTTATTTCTAACACCAGGATTAATTTGATAACATATGATTCCAAGCGGTATACTTCTCCCATTTTGTTGTTGTAATCTTTTACAATTATTGGTTTTTTTACAGTTCTTTTTCGTGTTTCAACATCAATCATAAAGTTATTATGGACTGTACTCGTCAAACGTATATCCTTCTTGTCTTTTCAGTTCACAACCTCTTTTCCCCCCTTCCCCTGCGAAGATTTCTCACTGTCTTGTGTCTTATGTAAAATGGCGCGGACATTCATAAAACCCGGGGGGGGGGGGATTTAATTAGAAATAGAATGCCTGATTAGTACTGTCCTCTAGGAGGTATTGAACAAACAAAAATAAAAACTCAAGCGAGTAAACATTTTGAAAGCATTTTAAACGTTTAAAAGTTTTAAAATGTAGAAGAACGCTTGAAACGCGTTACGGCCACCCTGCAGAAGTTTCACTTGAACGCGCTAGATGCGTTACGTATGATGAAGAGAAGGGCGAAGAAAATAGTATTTACGTGGCAGTATTCAAATCTTCACTCTGTCTACCTCTCTAGAAACATGTCATTCGCAGCTGATATCTGTTGTCATAGCCAGTTACTTTGAATTATGATTGAAAGTGATTTGAATATTCGCTGACATTATTACAAACTGATGTGAAATGAGAACAGTCTGATGTGACGCTAGACTATCTCCATTTGCTTATTTGTAAATATTTTGTGCTACTAAATATTAGAATGAAATTATTGACGAAGGTATTTCTTACTCAAACACCCTGGCATCTGGACCTGAAGAACTAAGAAACATAATTTGTTTACCTTTTTCTTTTTTCAAACCTAAATTTTGCAGTGTGATTATTGCACTGCAGCCATTAAATCATTTGTTTGCTGCTTTCATTTATTGTCTGATTTTCTTAGAAACTGTGTGATGAATGTCAAGCATGAGGTTTAATTTGAAAAGTGTTGATTTTGCATGTATTTTTAACCCAAAATGACTATTGAATGGAAGGAGAGGGTAGTAGCTATTTCTGCTGCGTTATCATCAAAGATATAAATATCCTTTGATGCAGTGATTTTAAAGTTTTTATGCTTATAACAAGTATTAGTTATTTATCAAAAGATTTGATGACATGAAAACAAGCTCAGTGAAAGCATTTAAAAGTTTTTAAAGTCACTGCACATTTTATTTACAAATGATTAGTGCTTTAAAAACATTGTGTAAATATGAAATTGTAAATTGGTGTTAAAACATTGTGATTATCACAAATGGTAGCTATATGTGCAATGACTAATATGCAATTAAAATAAGATTTTATTCACTTGTAATATATAGAAATCTTGGT